GAAGGTGCATGCTCAATGGACAGCAGCACCAAACAATGTGAACTTACTGTAGGTGGCCAGCTACTCCTAAGATAGTAATAACAGTAATCCTTACCCAATATATCCTAACAGTTACCACCATACCTGGCTGAAAATAAACATAGGACAACTTTGTTGCCTGTTGAAATGAAAACATGTTTTCCCCTGTAGGCTAATACATAAGCTGGCGTTCATTTTAGCACAGTAGGGCTACAGGTGTTATACAGCCTTTTGTGCCTTTTTTTCCTGCAACTTCTCTGCACCCTTAACTTTTTTTTATCCATTTTGACACCCTCATCCATCCACAGATTTTTGGCTCTGAGCCACAGCATCTGACTCAAGAAACAGAGAGAAAAGAGAGAAGGGGGGGCAAGTAAGGGGATGTGATTGGGCCAGCCCAGTGTCAGTATAGAAAATTAACCAATGGGCCACTGTCCCTGCTTTATGGGCTGATCATTGGCCAACATTTTATTTTCATTTTTTTTTAAATAAAAAATTATAAATTAAATTATTTTGGCCCCAAGGTCCATCCAAGGTGCATCAGCCCACAGGAAAATGTCCAGTGTGCCAAATTTCCAGTCCACCTCTGCTTAGAGGTTGCAGGTTTGATTCTGCGGAAGGGTACAGCTATTTTAAGTTTAAATTGCTGAATTACTTCAGCGAATAGCCGGAAGTATAAAAGGATTGTATGCACAGATGTAAGTTGTGTAAGCTGCTTGAAAAAAGGGTGTAGGCTAAATGCTTACCAGCCCTGCCATTCTCCACATTATTTTCTGGCTCTATTGTCAGCAGAAATGAGACAGCAGCACTCTCATTGTCAGGCGCCTTGACATCACATCATACCACCCCATTGTGGTCTATTTTCAGAAGTCTTGTTCTTTAGAGATCAGCCAGTTCTTTCTGAATTGCTGCTGTGGAACAGGTTAGACAAGGTCTAGCCAAGATGTTCACATGAGTCTGCCCTCCCTGTATGCTGTATGCTGTATACTCTTTATGTATTTATATAATACCATGTGAGATACATGACATAAGAAAGGTACAATGTGCCTCGCCTCTTTATAAATTGATTACCTAGCTTAGATATTAATGAAAACTGGAAATATGATAGTGTATATTTTTATATTTTATAATACTTCTTAGAATACTACTTTCAAAATGGAGCCTAAAGAAAAATGCTTTGGTGAAAATAACAGTCAACCAAAAGCCACAAAATGTGGGAAGTTCATACAAGAGCACAAGTTGATGACAAAATACGTAACTATGTTCACTTCATGAATGAGAAGGTTCCTAGCTGGTCAGGGAAGGTCGCCAAAGAGTGATGAAACTGGTGAGTTTAACTGGCTTACTCCACTATTGATGAGGTCAACTGGCTCTTCTCACTATTTAACAGAAAAATCTGAGCCAGCATTGGGGTCCACATGAGCATTTGAGTGGGAATGTTGGGAATAAAAAGATGTGTCTGACTCACCTGGTGCAGGTGGGGTGTGCAGGTAAACCTCCTCGCTGTACTCGCCGAAGCCAGCTTTGTTGCAGCCCCTCACTCTCAGTACATACACGCTGTCCATCTCCAGCCTTTCGATCACCGTGCTGGTGCCTGTCACCTCCTCCAGCCGCTGCCATCCCCAGTGGCCCCCACCCCCACCTCCACCACCGCCACCGCCACCAGCCCCACCTCCCAGGACCCTGACCCCACCCCAGACACCCCCTGGCCCTCCCCCTTCACGGCGTCGGTACTCCACGGAGAAGTGCCAGGCAGGGGCAGAGTCTTGGGGCAGACGCCAGCACAGGAAGAGCTGGTCATAGGCCAGGGTGCGTTGTGTGTCAATCACTGGGGCCAGAGGGGCTGAGGGAGACACACCAGAGAGTACACATTTTAATTCAGAAATAATCATAATCATCATTCCACTACAGTGCACTCAATGCACTAACTTACTTAACGGTGTTTAAATTGCTTGAAATTGCTTGATGAGGCTAATTAATGTGGTCATCATGTGCTACTCAAGAAAAAAAATCTAATATGTCAACATTTCCTCTCTCAATTTAAGCACTGACTCATCAAAGCAGTCGTGATGGGAGATGAAGTTTCACTCACATCTTAATGGGTGGGGCTATAACCAATCAATGGTTAGACCCTGTCAAACTCTTTTCTCTCCACCAGTTTGGTGGAGAGCAAAAAAAACAATAACTGGTTCAACTCATTGGATCCCTGATACCATACATTAGCTCGGCTCATTTTCAGTTTCATGACACCTCAGTCTCATTGCCCCACCTCTACAAACCAAACCTTAACAGCCCATGCTAACGTACATCATGTACAAGGAAGTCATCCAAAATTATGTATGCAAACTGCGCTTATCTGATAAAACAACTAAACAAGGGCCAAGTTCAGAGGGAATAATAAGTTCAAACACTCTGAAAGAAACTCAAGATATCCAAAATAAATCTCTTTGCTAGGCTGCAATGCTCAACTTGTTGCTTAGAAGGGAAAATAATGCCCATAATCCCACTTTCCATAAAGCCTGTCTGCAGTACACATGTTAGAGAGAAGTAAAAGTGTTATTCTCCAACAGCTCAGCCAGTCTGCTCTCTCGCACCTTGGATGAATTCTAAGCTGTTGAGCATCTTCAGTTCACGGGAAATGTCCACTTGGAAGTGTCGGAATGAGGGATCAGCCGACAGGGAGAAACACTGCAGGTTCTCAATTGCCTTCAATAGCCTGAGAGAGAAACAGTAATTCCAGTGATAGCACTGTGTCAGCAGAGGACGCTGTGGCTTCTCAAAGACACACATTTCATTTATTTGGCTTTTTTCAGCAAGTGGTCTGCAAGATGGTTTACGTATTATATTTACTGTTTTATTACAATTTATTTTTCAATATCCAACATAACTGTCACCATTTCAATCACAAATTCCAAACTCAGAAATACACAAACCACACATTAGAAACAGGACAGTGGATTGGAAGCCACCATCAAAATCAGCATAAAGAAATGGGAGAAGATAGGGACGGACAGACCTGCTGTGTGTGAGTCGGGCGGCCTGCACAAAGCAGGGGGGGTCTGTCTCCTTGAGGAGCTCCTGGGCAAATGCCAGCAGACCGGCGTGCTCCAGCAAGCTCTGCCTCTCACTCATCTGAGCCGAAAGGGCCTCCCCGCGCCTGTGCCGTGCCGCCTCCAGAGCCTGGGCCAGTGCACCCTGCCGCTCCGCCAGCGCTGCCCCCAGCTCCCGCACGCTTTGCATCAGCTGCTCCCTTGCGGATGTGCTGTTCATCTGGGGGAAGGGGGGGGGGTAGAACAGGAGGGGCACACAGGCAGTGGATGCAGTAGGAGGAGTAACAGTGATTGCAGGTGGAGCACAGTGAAAGTGGCAGGGGCAGTTGTTGCAGTGGGAGGGGCAGCTTTGCAAACTGGAGGACACTCAGTGACAATGGGAAGAGCAGCGGTGACCACAGCAAATCTATCTGTGACACATGAACTGAACAAGACACAGAGACAGAATTAACGTACTGTCTCATCCTTGATATCTCTGCAGCAGGTGGCGAGACAGCTAAGATATTTGCTGTCAGTCAGGCTGCGTTTTCATTTATACAGCAAGTGACAAAGTGGCAGTTCCTTTTTAAGCCTGTAGATGGCCACATCATAACCACACACCAAACAGCATCTCGACCCATATAAAAGCAAATATATTGTCTTTGCACTGTAGCCACTGTTATCCTTTGACCCAAAAATATATTCTCTACCCCTGTGAGATGGCTATGTAAATTAGGCCAGTCTTTTTTGAGTGAACTGCGAGGGTAGTGTGCTAATGTTGGGCAGTGACAGGGATTTGTGCCTGTAACATGCTTTGGTTTTGTAGGATGGTATTTCATGATTACACACTGCTTACCTCTGTCTGTGTGATGGCATTCTCCAGCTGAGTGATCTGGGCCTGCACTGTCTCTTGATTGGCCAGGATATAGTTTATCCCCTTGGTGATTTTCTCCTATGAGATCACACATCATACAGGATACAGGATCAATCACACAAACCTGCTATTCATCTGTATTTGTTGGCACATTAATTCAAGTATTAAACAAATCTTTAGGCTGGTCTAAGTCATGCGTATGACATAAAACTATCTCCCACATCAGGAAGTATTCTGGTACAGGATGACTTCCAGAGTCATCAAAGCACCCAGTTGACATAAACCCTGACTGACACTTCCAGAAAATTCCCAGTAACCTTTATGAAAGATGAATGCTACTAGGGACTCCAACTAAGCTCCCAGAAAATGGTTCCACAACATTTTACTTGATTACACTGTGTTACATGATTTAACGTAACTATGACAATCTATTCTAGTTTAATTATTATGGAAGAGTCTCCCTGTTGAAATAATTGCTAAATCATTTCACTTTAACACTTTTTGCTCTCATTAACTGTTTTTCATCTGCATCATCATCATGGTTATTGTGTTTTTCCACTTTCATTTCATTTTGCCATCTGTTTGCATGTTTTTGCCTTCATGTCAGTATGATTATTTACTTTTTACAAATAAATAGAAATACATTTAACAACAAAAATGTGAGCATATATATTTTAAAAAATACATAACACTGCAGAGAGTAGGGTTCAGGTATGTATGCACTTTAATACTGTATGACGGAAGACTCCTCTTTCTACAGTCGGAAGAGCTTGATAACAGATGAGGCCAAGTAGCAGGCACCATGCAGAGAATCAGTGACTCAGACAGGGCCTACCTTGAGTGCCTGGCAGGCGTTGGCAATGGGGGCGATCTTGTGGCCCGCGTGGATCCGCCGCAGCTTACACAGCGGGCACAGCAGCCGCTGGCACGACTTACAGTAGAAATGCAGCCGCTCCTGCTCATGCTCCGGGCAGGTCAAAACCTGGGAAATGGGAGTCAATGGGATAGGAAGGCATTAAGGTGGGAGAGAGAGGGGCTAATGAGGAAGACTGGAGAACAGTAAGGGCTGTGTGATACAAAGCAGTCTAGTATAATGGTGAGGAGACTGGGCTTACAACTCAGAGGTTGCAGGTTCAGTTCCAATGCGGGGGCTGCTGCTGTGTGCTTGAGTAATGCACTTCTGCTTCAGCGAGATATCCAGCAGCATATTGGACTGCATGTAAATCATCATAGGCTATGTAAGCAGCTCTGCTATAACAGTGTCTGCAAAAAGCCTAAAATGTGCAGAGCCCAAACAGCATGAGAGGAATGGTCAAATACTTGCTTTGCCGAGAAAGGTCCTCCTTTTTGTGCAGGAGAGAGGGTTTATCTGTTTTCCAAGATTCTGCACTGGCAACATGACAGCAATTTTCTCCATTCATGCCAATATGCTCTCTACTGGCTGAGGCCATTATTCACCATGTATTTTAGACATTATCGTTAATTAAACTACAGACACATTTCACCCTACTGTTAAACTCTATTAAAATCCATTGTTAAAAGCATCCTGACCTTGGGTCTGAAGTTGAGGGTGGGCAGCACATGCTCGTGCTGAGCTCGGGGTGTACCCCATGGGTGGTACAGCTTGAAGCACTCGTTGCAGAAGTTGGAGCGGCAGTCTGCGCATCCCTTGGTGGCCTCCAGAGACTGGGGTGGCTTGCAGAACTGGCACATGACCGCCACGGTGCCCAGGCTCACTGTGTGCCTGTATCTGCACAAACCCCACAAATGTCATATTTTAGGAGAGGAAGGAAAAAAAGCGAAAAAACAGGTGTGACATTTGGCTTACTTTGCAGAGCTTCAAGGTACACTTGGTAGAAGAAGGGAGATCAGATGTTTAAATAGCCCTTAACAATTTTGCATGTCCATTGCTATATTAAAAAAACAGCAAATAAAAACATACAAGATACAAGATATAGTCATACAAGTCATACAAGACATGAATACATATTTTTTACACATATAATCAGCAGTCTAGTATATAAAGTTTTTATTTTTGTACAAACGTGATATTTTAGTTTACAGCAGGGGCACTCGGCCATGGTGCTTGAGGGTCAAAGTGCATGCTGGTTTTTGTTTTAATCTTAAAATCAGAAACAGGTTTAAATCCAAAAACCATGAAAGCTGAATGAAATATGTAATAAACCACCTTATATCATTTATATTTATGAAGTGCTGAGTCACAATGAAAACCAGAAAACCTTGCAGCTATTGAGCATTCCTGGTTTACAGCATTTGTGCTTATAATTCCAAACATATCAATAGCACCATAATGTGATAAAAAAGGTGACAAAGTGAAAACTGCAAAATGGCAATAATCACTGACTTTTCAGACAACTTCATTTTAAATGTTTTTTTCTAAAAGAGGAATTGTGCCAACAGAATATGAGGTCCCAGAGATATGTGTGCAGCCACAAAAAATGTAATATTCCATTGAGATCCAAACAGTAAATCCACTAAATAAATACACTGTTCCTTGCAGGAAGTAGAGAACTGGCCAAGATTCTGAGGAGAGAGCATACCTAACATTTACAGGTAAACACCATCCTTAAAGTGTAACTTCACCCTCATTTTCTGTGTCTTTCTGCTCCCTTGGCTATTTTGAAAGATTCTCAGAAGAAGGAGGATATCAAGAGATGGAGGGTGTGTCTATTCTGATACAGGACTCATACAGGACCATGTCCCACTGAGCCTTGTAAGGTACATTCCTTCCCTGAGAACAGTGTTACAGCATCAAGGACGATTTATTAGGAATCTATATTTGAGGAAGTAACTTTGTGATGTCTGTAAGTACTTTTGGATTAAGAAGTTTACTGAATAATACAAACTTGATGTGATTTCAAACAAAATTTAAGATTTGATACAGTTTTGGGACAAAATCAGCTGATCTTATTTTTCCCTTTCCTAATTTTTTTCACTTCCCATGTGGAAAATCTGTTACTATCGATAATAACCACAAGGTGGCAGTAGAGTAGACACCCACACACATTATTCATTCCTGCATTGCAACAAAATGTGGTTAGCATCTGAGCCTTATGAATTGTCATATCATTTTAATTTATTTTGTTGGTCCACCAGTTAATTTAGCAGGGCAGTTTTTAACATCTGATTTCGATGTATGACTACTACTGTTCATTATCCACTTAGGAGGATGGGACTCAGTCATACTGTACTAAATCTTTTGTATGCGTGCTTGCTTCCATGTGTGCACGTGGGTATGTGTCTATGTTTTTTGTGTGAATGGGAATGTGTGTACCATACTATGTATTTATATGAGTGGGTCTGCGTACATGCCCGGAAAGCTATAGCAGTCAAACAAGCATTATATTGCTTTATGTGGCTTTCACATCCAAATCTCAAAATTAAAATGAGGGCACCCATAAGTATTCATACACAGCTCATGTGGATACTCTGTATGCACAGTGTAAATTTGTATTTTCCTGTGACAATCCAAACTCCAGGATCCGGAAAACCCACAAAGGAAGAGTCCCACTACACCCCACCCCCCCCCCCCCGTGTACTGTGCTTTTGACCTGGAAAAATCTGATATGGAGCAAATTCAGTATTTGCCAATGTGGTCTGCAACAGCTTTATACTAAAAACATTGTCGAGGGTATGATGACCAACCCTGCACAAAAGATAAAGGAGGATAATGGAGGATGGCAATACTCACCCTGAGGGACGATAATGAAGGTAACTAACACTGATGGGAGATAATGGAGGTAACTGACATTGACGCATGGAAATGAATATAATAGGGGTATGGTATTTAGCAATGAGACAGGGATAAGGAGGTGGACAGTACCTCTCCACAATGCGCTCCAGGGTGAGGTTACGAAGGCATTCAGCTAGCCCCCTCTCCCCTAGCTCCACCTCCTTCCCACAAGGGGGGCAGGGGAACAGCATTGGGGGAGGGGGGCCCTCCTTACGTCTCCGGCCAGGGTACGTTCCATACCCTTTGAGCCAAGAGAGGGGGAGAGAGGAACAGTTGAGAGGACTGAGAGGTAAAGATGATGGAGGGGTAGGTAGGGGAACATATAGGGCAGTGTGAAGCATTTCACAGGTTAGTTGACATTAGTATCTAGAACAATGTCAATGCCATACACCTGCAGCCAAAGAACAATACAAATACAGATATGAAAAGAAATACTCACTAACATAATTATTAATCACCGAAAAGCCTGCTTCTGCATTTACTGTGGTGACGTTCTACTTGCTGACAGGTCAGAAATAGACTCGCAGCCGTGCACACCTGCTAAGGCTGATTCACAAACTCACACACATTTACACAAACACACACGCACGCACACACTCACTCTCACACTTATTCCTTTTATTTATAATTACCTCTCTAATCTTTCATGTCTTGTCTGACATACACACCAATAATATTCATATCTCCATTGAACTCTCTCTCACATATCAATATCTATATTTAGTTCTTGCTGCCTGTCTCTCTTACATACACACCCTACACACTCACTCATGCACTCACACACCATACACACACATACCGGGTCGCAGTACGCGGTCGATGCGGTCGACCTTGGGCGCAGGTCGGCGTGCTTGGCGGGGTGAGCGGGTGTTAGGAGTGGAGGCGGGAGACTTGGGCTCTGGGGGCAGATCTGGGGCAGGATAGCCATTCTGGACCAGAACTTCAGACGCACAGAGCAGGCAGACACTGTGCTGGCATGGAAGGACGATGGGCTGCTTCACCATCTCCTTACACACCGGACACTGCAGCTCTCGCTCCATGCTCTTCATATTGGACTAGGAGGGACAGAAGATACTGTGAATCCTTTTGTATTTTAACTGCACATTAATGGAAAAACAAGAATTCTCTTTCCATACTGAAAAAGCCAAATGATTTTAAGAGAGGACAGAAGCTAAAGAGAGAGTGAAGAGACAAAGATAGGTACAGGTGTGATCAAAGAAAAAGTGAGAACAGAAAAACGAGAGGACAGGGCAGCATGGAGGCAGAAAGGGAGGAGATAAAACAGGAAGAGGCAAAAGTACAAAAAGTCATATGAATAACTAAAATAAGCTCTCCTCTACATCAGTATGTACATCATGGGGGGGGCAGGGAGCAACAGAGAGACAGAAATAAGCACATCTGTCTCGATGGAGAGGCAGAGGCGAGAAGGCGAGGCAAAGAGGAGGTAGAGATTTTTGTGGTTAAGAATTAATGGCAGTCACAGAGAGCAGAAACAGAAATGGGTTTCTATATAAATAGCTCCAGCTGATGGATAGTTAGAGCCAATCTTGTTAAATATGAATAACGACCAAATCTTAATGACCAGGCAGCTATGCCTGCCCTGTGTGTCTGGTGGCTACATGTTAAGAGCCGTATGTACATGCTTGCAAACCAGCGCCTTTTTTTTAGAATGTAACAGCCCCTATGTTAAGAGACAGGTTTTAAACATCATATTGCACAACGGTGCATTCAATTGGCATTCAATTCAACTGTGCATATGTTTTGATTTATTTCCATGAATGTCAAACACAAGAAGCAACATGTAGGTGTGTAGAGTGGTTTTTCATTCCCTGCACTTAAATCAGCACTGTTTCTAAGCCATCACACACAAGAGATCACCGTGGTCACACAGGAATGGCAATTTCCCATTAACCTCATTTCAAAAACCAACTAATCAATATAGTATTTGTCATTTTTTTCTTCCAAATGGGTCAAATTACAACTGATTGTTCTAGTTTCACTGTTCAGTTTCATTATTGTGTAGATATTGGCCCCAATCCACAATCACACTGTAGGACATTACTTTAAATGCAGTTTTTAAATCCATGTTTTTAAATCACAGTGCCTTTTCGAAAATGACTGATTAGACTCAAGTTAGCCAAGTAATGGGAGTATACAGAGAGTAGAACAAAGAAATTTATATTTTCCAGATCTTTAGGAGTTATTTTGCCCATTAAAACACTGCAGTACACACCCACCCACCCACACACACACAGTCACGTAGATGAGCTCAATGATACACAAACTTTCCCCATGAATGATGAAACCTAATTTCTGAGGACGTCTCTAAATCTATGTAAACATAACTGTAACAGTATTCTCTTTATTGAGAGAATGTTACACGATATAAGATATTGATAT